TTAAAGTGCTTATAAGCCTTTGCACAATATTTTCAGAATTGATTCTTTAGATAGAGAATAGTTGATTGTGAAAATAAGCCGTCATTTGAATGTCGGGACTTTGAGATACGAAGGTTTATATTTCCAATATACGTGAGTCAGGAGTAAAAGGGTGATCCTTTTAAATTACTGTATTCCAGAACGAGTGCAGTGTTGTATATTTAATGATTCCTTATGTTACGTCATAGTCATTAACATATTGGGGATATAAACCTTCGTATCTCAAAGACCCGACATTCAAATGACGAAATATTTTCACAATCAACTATCCACTATCTAAAGAATCAATTCTGAAAATATTGTGCAAAGGCTTATAAGTACTTTAAGTTTTCAACAGACTGATCAGTATTCGTTAAATGGAATCCGCCAAAAAAAAACACATATTGGGAATAAATATTTCCTGATTATTTCTTTCTTTTCACAGCACAAAATCAAAATTTTGTAAGTTAGTGGTGTTGCTGTCTTATACCAAAGACCTATTTTTTTCATGCAACAACGTTACATGTTCCTGTCGATATGATGGGCAGGACACTGCAGTGACTAACGCCGCTTTCGTTCTAATGGATTTAGCTTTGGCGAAGGCTTTCTTGTCCCAGAGAAGAGTACGTTGGTACTTGGATTGAAGTTAACATCAGGCTGAAATCAAAGATGTCGGAATAATGAGATTTATATTACTTGTTTGATATCTTTTTGTCGTCCGGGAAATACACCAGCTTCACATTCAATGCATACCGCTGTTTTTGAAGACAAAAGACTCATTGGCACAGGCTTAGCCTCGTTTATTCGTCAGCTATTCACAGATACCATTTAAGTCCGTGGGATTTCAAAGCATTGGTATTGTTCAAGCTGCACATTCTTTACATAAAAGTTGACAATGAGTCTTCAGTCTTAAGAAACAGCGGTATTTATGGAATGAGAAAAGGGACTATTAAGTCGAAACATGAAGCCTAAAGTAAGAGGTCCATTAAATAAAACGAGTTCTCTTCATTACCACTATTTTCATTGCTACGCGCTGATCGAGACAACAGTCGGGACAGGGAAATTGGGCAATACACTTTCGTCAATCAAATATATTGGTCGGTACCTTTATATTCTTTGAATGGCGGCAGTGTATTGCCCTATTTCCCTGTTGCGATTGCTGTCTCGATAAGCGCGTATCAGTGAAAAGAGTGTTAAATCCTGCTCTCCTCTGTTAAGAATTCAAATTTGAGTTTTCCTTTTTATACGAGCTTAAAGCCATTAATAGTGTTGCTAATCATTATTCTTCATTTGCAGTTGGGGTTCATTGAAAGTTAAAGAGGCACTTGGACGAAAACGCCCCAATTTTTGAAAGTCCAAATAATTGAAGTATTTGAGGATAATATGATTCAATTATGACTATGTAAACATGATTAGTGAAAATTTTAGCCTGGGAGCTACTTGCAGATGAGAAATCTTGGTTTAAAAGGTAAAAGAACGATAGGGTTGAGTAAATGACGTCATTTACTCACAATTTAGATGCTGAATAAAATTGATAATTTTTATCGGCCACTTTTTACTGTGAAGAAAATATGTTGCTTAGCTACTATCTGGGCCAAATAGATAAGTTTAAACAAGTTTCAAGTCATTTCCAATTTTCATCGATTTTCATCCAAGTGCCCCTTTAAAATTTGTGTCGAATGATGAAATCCTTTGTTTCAGGAAAATATGTCTTTCTTTCTCTTTCGGACCTGCCTCGAATAGCTTTAAGAAACTTGCAGGTAAAAAGTGTAATTGTAAGTGTAATAGAGTGGTTCTCGAAAACCCGTGAAACAAATACTAGTTTTGATTGACGACGGGAAAAGAAAAAAAACAAAAAAAATTCAGCGTGCAGCGCAGCAAGCGAGTTCGCGTGTTACGAATATAGCAGCAATGCATGCACGTTATCAGATAGTAACTAAGAGTAACTGTATCACGGGTTTTTGAAAACCACTCAAATTCAAAAGAATAAATGTCAAACCCAGTTTACTTACTGTATATCGAGCGTCTTGACCAAAATGACTAGGAAATCCTGCTTGCTGTTCTAAAACCATCTCGTTAAGCTTTGCCTGTTTCAAGTATGAATCAAATCTTTAGTCTTTAATGAAGGTACTCCTAAAACAGTTAAGACTATACTAGGAGAGTCAAAACAAATCAAATCAAAACTAATATAACTCGAAATTAAACCTGACTTTAAACTCGAAAAATGGTAGATGTCAATTGAAAATAAGATACTATAGGATGGGAAAAATATTTTTTTCTATTAGGCCTATCAAAAGAAAAATTATGTTACACATAAAGGCTACAAGTTTAAAAGTGTTGTACCATCTTTAAAAAGAAAAAGACGTCTATTTACGATTGTGCTTTCCATATTTAGAGAAGGTATGTTACTTACTTGGAGGGGGGCTGGGGTTTCAGAGGGGAGGGCTAGGAAGGCTAATGCCTCGTTGACTTAGTAGAAAAGTGAATTATTTAAAGAGGAGGGCTACAAGCATTTTAACAAAGTTAACTGCAATCCCTCAGCCYTCTCCCTGCCAATAAAAAACATGCTTTCAATTATTTACCTGTAATTTTGTTTTCTCTTTAGCCCATTTCCTCGCATTTTCTGCCAACTAGAAAAGTGTTAACAGCGTTACCACGAAGAAAAATAACTGTTCTAAATATTTGGTACTTGCATATCAATCACTAGTCATGCTTTCTCCTATAAATACTGTTTAGTTTTCTATGTAACTCAGACATTGAAGATTCGCACGGGTAATCAGTCTCAAAGATAAAGAAATATTTAAATCGAAGACTATAAATCAGGACTAAATAACGTATTCAGTTATCGTGTTCGAAACAAACAACATCCATCATGCCTACTGATGTATTCTTTTAAAGATGAGGAAAATGAAATATAATCGATATGAATTTCAAACAGGGGGAAATTAATTTTCCCCTGATTTCAAACGGTCGTATGAGAATCAAATACGACAACAACAGATGATATGGATTTGTACAATCAGCAGCAAATAAACTAAAGCAATGATAAATAATTAGAAATATAACCTGTTTCTCTAGTCCCAGTATTCTTCCTTCAGATCGTTCTAGCTTTTGATATAGTTCTAATTTCTCAGAACTTGGCATGGTTTCCTTAAAAAAGGAGAAAGAAAAATTCAATAAAAAGTACGACGAGGATAGGACATATTTCACTGCGTTTTTTCAAACATGAAAAGTTTATGTTATCATCATATACACGATTAAAAATTAACTAATCCGTCAAGATGCAGTTTCCTACTTTTCACAATTAAAGAGCACAAATTATTCGTAATGAAAACTTCGCGCGATAATCTGAGCCTGTTGAAATCTTACCATATCTGGAGAAGCAGTTCTGAAAAATCAAAACAGAAATATACAATCATTGCGGATCTCAGTTGTAACTATTGATTATGACGAGCATATATTTTATCTTTTTCCCTTAAATATACTTGTTTTTAAAACATCGCTAAGGAAAAACTAAGAGTGACACAACATATAGGTGTCAGCTTACATGATATAGGTGTGGAGGACATTTACACATTGTTATCGCGGCGCATATTGCCACGCCACCGAGACCAGAGCGGAGTTTATGTTTTGGTCGAGAGTCGAGAGTCGAGAGTACCAGGTCGAGAGTCGAGAGTACCAGGTCGAGAGCCGGTCGAGACTACCCTTTATCTGAGTATCCAATTATAGTTTCTATGATTTCTGAGCATAATTAATTTTCTCAAATATAAATCAATAAATATAAATGAGAGCGTACATATATAATAACACTGACATCGCGTCATTGCGTTACGTGATCTTGTCTCTCTACACTCACCTAAATATTCAAACATGTGTCATTTCACATGTGTTATTCAGAAAATAATTATATATATATATATATATAGTTGTGTATCTGCGCAGATAAGCTGGTAAGGCGACGGCTAAAGAAATTCAGTGGAGCTCGAGAACACAGAAAAAGAACAAACCAATGCACCTTGTAAGTAGGGTACAGTAATCATTTTTAAATGGTGCAATGAATCATAATTAGCCTAATGACATCGGAGAAGACCGCCTTAATTATCCCATGATCAACAGTGTTATTATATATGTACGCTCTCATTTATATTTATTGATTTATATTTGAGGAAATTAATTATGCTCAGAAATYATAGAAACTATAATTGRATRCTCAGATAAAGGGTAGTCTCGACTCTCGACCTGGTACTCTCGACTCTCGACTCTCGACTCTCGACCAAAACAGAAATTCACCAGAGCGTTGTGTCGGGCAGCTACAAAGAACACCCCAGTTGAAGGTCCAAGTTGAAGAAGGCTTAAAATCCCACAACCTCCAGCACAACGGACCGATGCTAAAACGTTTTTAGCCTGATGTTAACTTCAATCCAAGTACTAAAGTACCTGAGTAACTGCTGCTTTGTGTTTTGTGCACTTTGTCGTTCCTAAACAGAAAGATTTTTCAAAACATGCTTCAAAATCAATCATATATTTATCGTGGCCAGTGAAATATTACAAGAATTATACCATAAACTTCTGAAGGACAGTGAAATTTTTGAAAGCAGTATTTGTGGTCAAGAGTCGCGAAAGCTAAATAAATTGCTGTTTCAAAAGTTTATCGTCGTAATGCTTTAAATTATTTTTATAATATTAGAGTTTTGAATTGTCATTTAAAGCTCGAAATAGTAAAACAAAATAGCTCATCTACCAATAATCAAAAATAACCTAATGCATGATAAGGTAAAATCTAAAAAAAACAAAAGTATCATAAAGCAAAATCAACCATTTTTTTCAATTTCTTTTTAGACTTTCAAACAGTATCATATTGTAATGATCAAAACTTTTCAAAAGAAAAAACCCTATCGTTTAACTGTCTATAACTACCTTGGACTACTTACTTTGTATTGCTCCAGTTCAAGATGAAGTCGTGCATTCTCTTCAATGTATACTCCATTTATTTCTCTGTTATCTGACAATGAAAACAGGTTGAAATGTAAATGATACTCATTCATTGCTCTCACCATTGCGGGTCAGAAGAACCATGACGTTTCTACAGCGAACTGCTAGTCTTTATAAGGCGTTGGCGTTACATGGTGTGTCTGTTACATACCCTCAATCTTGAGACAAATTAATAAGTTTCAGTTATAAGTATTCTATAATGAATAATACTTTTCCCTCTATATTGTTAAAACATTATAAAATATGTCCATGTAGTGAAAACAACAGTTAAAATTATTGTAGATAATTTGAGACATGTCAGATMATTTCAGTGGTTCGATGGTGCGATTCTCTCAATGCTTTGTACACTGTAATATCTATGATGTCCATTTTCCGCCTAGTTATTTTTTGTTTGTATCAGAATTGTTACATCGTATAGTTGCTTATATATTTTTTCAAGTCTTGTAGTTTTTGTTTTTTTCGTTTTCGAGGGCCATAAGTTAGATAACTGAGAGGTTGATGTTACCTTTGTAAAATAAAGATTGAAATAAAAAATAAAATAAAAGTGAACAGTTATTTATGTTACCTTCGTAAAATAAAGATTGAAATAAAAATAAAATAAAAGTGAAGAGTTATCAATAATATTTTAGTCCAATGTTAATAACAACAGCATTACCTGAAAGGTTCATCTCGTTTTTTCCATTAGCCAGTAACTTCTCTAATTCAACAATGACCTAAAAGGGAAAAAAAGGTAATTAACCAAATGTCTAACAACACAATTTCTCTATTCGATAAAGTGGATATAACTTACAATTCATTAACAAATTAATTTTAAAAAAACAAAGTTTCCTAACCTTCTCTTGTTTCTTGCAAGCGTCTTGAGTTGCTTTATATTTTTGAGCTTTACTCTGCAAAATTTAAGAAGAAAGTAAGAAAGTAAATTAAATTCCTATTTAGTTGACAGTTGATTAAGTGATGTAAGGAATCAAGGAGTTTCAAATTAAGAGAGGATAAATATTTATGTTCTCTTGGCTAAATCTGCACACCTACCACTCTCGTATGTAAAGGCCGACAAATGCACGAAAACGAAGTCACAGGGTCATTACTTCACAATAAATAAAGATATAAAAGCAAATGAAATGCGTGTATAGAAAAGAAGTATAGAAATTGACCCTTTCCACCTTTATTTTGAATGAGTAGCCTTGCTCAGCCTTTTCGCAAGATGAGAGGGTAGCCTCATTTTCGTGCGCTCGTCAGCCATTATGAGAATGGTGCATAGGCTTGGTTGTATTCCACATGTCAACTGTTTTATTTTCAAATCGTTATAACCTTTGTCCCATAACTAGTTATGAACTTCTGTCATTGCGGCTTGCGCTTACTAACTAATTTTATCATTCCATTCCAGTTTTACGGGCTCATTACTTTAGCAAAGTGGGAAAAATCATTGCTTGTTCATCATTTTACCTACGGTCTACACTGGTACCTGAATCTTTTGTAACAACGCCTGCTGGCTTTCATGAGCGGCTTGTAGTTTCAGTAGCTCCTTCTCTTTTTCATTTTTCTAAAAATAAGAAAAACAAATGTTCATCAATTTGAAATTGCACACTGTTCTTTTTCGCCATTTTCACATTCCCCATAATGTTTTACGGGTAAACGGTAAAAAAACTTCGTGTCATAAAATCAAATCTTTCTTTAATCCAATATAAACTACAATATAACTGCTTTTATCGAAAGAAATACTCGTATTATCAGTTTATTTTGAGTGAATTTTTCACCTTCAGAACAAAAAGAAGTTTAGTGTTACAGAAAATGTACTGACTCATGAAGAAGTGCTAAAAATTTACTTTAAAGCCTTTGAACATTTCTTTCTAGTTGTTTCTTATACATCTTTAGACGTCATAAAAACACGCATTTGTAACATATTCTAATCAGTGTTCAGCATATATTTTCCCCTGGTTGCCTCCAGAGCCGTAACGTATCTTGGGGATGTGAAAATGGTAAATATCAAACTGCGCTATCTGGGACTAGCGATTTTTTCTTTTCTTAAGCAAACATCTGCCACAATTCCTTACACATGAATATTCGTCAGCCATTTTCCGTTTCTAACTGGCTAAAATTGCACTTGCCCCTGCRAGCTTGACTAGAACGCGAGCTGGCCTCCCGCGATAATAATAGTTGGCCTTCGGGTACTCAAATAATTGATCAATCGATGATTAGATTAATCCTTTTGTTGAATCGATCGAACGACCAAGGAATTCATTGGAAATCATGGATTATAAAATAGACAGGTCTAAGCTTTTCAGTGCTTCATCAAGTATGTTTCAAGCTAAATTTCCAGCAGCAATGACAAATCAAAACATCACGCTCAAAGAAAAAGGTTAATAGCCAGCTTTCTAAATAAAAATGCAATACCTTTATAAGGTCATTTTGTAGTTTTTGAGTCCGTTTTTGAAGTTCTTGTCTTTTCGTTGATTCATCAGACAGTTTTTTCTTTAACATAACTATAATGAGAAAAGTTGGCATCGCAATAATTGTTAGCAATTACTCCTCAAGCCCGAATGGGCTATTGACTCATAGGTCATGAGGGCAAGAGGACTAATTGTTTTAGTCAAATCCAACTAGTTCGTCAAATATAAAGATGAAAACAAGTTTTGAATTAAAGTTAAATTTAATTTTTTGGTTTTCAAAGCCCGCACTTTTCGCTACTAGTATGATATAACTGATAGCCTAGTAGCAGCTCATCCAATCAGAACACAGTTGGATTTGAATAAATGATATTTACAAGAATGCACTCTGATAACACTCCTTCCCAATCAGAAGCACAAGACATTTCTATGTCATTCATAAGCACGTGCCCTTTTTAAAGTTTAAAAAGTGAAACCCTATGTTGTCACAACAGCATTGATAGGGAAGCAATGCAATCATGGCTCTAAATAAAATATTACCAAATTTTTGTATTAGCTCGCTATGAGTAACGTTATCAAGGTCATTAGATCCAACCATTATTCTTGAGATCTCATCATGTTGATTCAAATCACGCCGATACTGACTGTTTGCTTCCTGTTTTAGAAAAAAAAAGAAAGAACGAATTGCATCACAGTTCATGTTCTGGGTGGTCAGTCTACTGAACGTATCTTACAATCTGGTATTCCACAAGGAAGTATTTTAGGGCCAGTGCTTTTCTCGCTGTATATAGCACCACTTGGAGATCTCATGAGATCATTAGGCATTGACTTTCATCTTTATGCCGATGATACGCAGCTATATATTTCTTTTAAAACGTCTGACCCAGGTGAACTGA